GGGCAGATGTGCCACCGCTGATAGTTGTGGTTGTAGTGCTGGTCTTCTACGGCGATGGGATGAAAGCTGTTGAAAAACGGGCTACAATCCAGGATAAAAAGGTGGGGGAGACAGTGATAAACGGAGTGTTAAACGTGGGAGGGCGCTGGTGCCTGTGAGGTAGTTTCGACCTAATGTTATGACTGACTGTCGAGCGAGTAAGTAGAGACGAGCGAGGCAGGCAGGAGCGCCGACGAGCTCTGATCGCAGTGAGACTGGAGCGGAGCTCAACAGGCAGGACTGGAGACAATGTGTGTATTGAGCAAAGTATTCACAGAGCGAAATACACAACGGCTTACCTGGAGACAAGAGGTCGAAACTAGAGTCTCCAGATAGCAAGGTATCCGACTATATACGAGGAACGAACAATGGGCGCTAAGGGGACAATGGCGTTGCCATGGGCACTGAGTACAAGGGCGTAGGACAATAGCGAAGGGGAGCACAAGGGGAGCTATTGTCCGTGTGCAAACAAGGGAACACCATGCTGGATAGAGAACAATAGATGAACATACAAGGCAGTGTGGTCTGAATGGAATGGGAAACATAGCCCCATGGGGGCGGTTCATGACACCATGCAAAGAATGGACTTTTGCTGGAAGAGGTTGCGAAGCATGTCAAATGCAACCTGACATTCGGGCATCCATTGGAAGGGTAGATCTTTCCGGATGAGTTGTGTGAGTGGTCGAGTGATCTTGCTGTAGTCACGGATGAGGTGTCGGTAGAAGTTGCAGAATCTGAGGAAGCTCTGGACTTGTTTGACGGTGGTGGGTACAGGCCAGGCGCGGATGCCATCGAGCTTTACTAGGTCCATGCCAAGCAATCCTTCACGGATGATGGTGCCCAGGAACTCGACTTCACTAGCGTCGAACACGCACTTCTCGCGCTTGAGGAACAGGTCCATTTCGATGAGACGCTGAACGACCCGCTGCGTTTGACGATGGTGGACGTCCTCCGTTTTGGAGAATATCAGAATGTCGTCCATATAGATGATAATCTATCCTTCAGTGATCATGTCCTTGAAGCCGTTGTTTGTCATCACCTCGAACGTCACCGGGGCGATGCATAACCCAAAGAACATTATAGTTGGCTCATAGAGTCCGAGGGGGGTCTTGAAGGCCGCCTTCCACTGGTCACCGTCTTTGATGCGGACGTTGTTGTAGCCAGCACAAACATCCAACTTCATGAAGTACTTGGCCCTTTGCAACTTGTTGATGAGGTCGTTGATCAGGGGGAGGGGGTAGACATTCTTGATCGTGCCAGAATTGAGGTAGCGGTAGTCTTGGACGGGTTGCATGGAGCCGTCCTTCTTATCCACGAAGAAGAACGGGGATGCCATCGGTGAGGTGGATGGGCGGATGTACCCCATGGCTAGGCTCTCGTCAATGAACTTCTGAAGTTTCTGCATCTTGAGTGGGGACAGGGGGTACAGCTTGCAGTCCCGGAGTTTGAAGTCGGGCCGCAGGTCGATGGGGTGATCCCAGGCCCGGGGCTTGGACATTCGTTCAGCTGCCTTCTTCTCAAACACCTGTTGATAGGTTTTGAGGTAGTCCGAGATGACTACGCTAGCCTTGACGTTGGCTGCCTTCGACCCTGCTATGACATCCAGTTGGGTCGAAACGGTGGTGCAGGCGATGGGGGTGTTTCCGATGATAAGTCATCGGATGGTGGCAGAGGGGTTCCATTCGGGATAGATGTCGCCGTGAAGGAAGGTAGTCAGGTGTCGACAGGGGTTCCCTGAGGGGTGTTGGTGGTATTCCCAAAGTCGCTGTTCCACCCGTAGATATTTGGCATCAAAATGGACCTTGCCCTGAACCCAGTCGATGTGAGGGTTGTACTGGACTAGCCATGGCATTCTAAGTATAATGTCGACCTGACCGCAGTCCGCTGTCAGGCACCAAAATGGATTGGCACCTGGACATGGCTTACAACGAGCTACATAATCATGTGATTAGTAATAATCGGAACCTATCACATAACCACAGGCGTCAAACATCAAAAAAGGCGTAAAACGGTGGGTCCATATTTTGTGATGTGGCACCTCCCATCATGTCTACCGTCCCCCGACAGACCCTCACAATCCCCGACGAGATAATCCCATACCTCTCGGACCACCTCAACTTGGACAAAATCATCCGCTGCCCGGTAATTGTACGCAAGGACTCTCACCATCTTCACTTCTACACTCCGCAGATTCGTGTGCCGGAAACGCGCCCATTTGGTCCAATTCCGCCTCCCGATACCCCATGTTGGCTTATCCTTCCGAGCAAGTTAGAGCCGGGTTGGACATTGCCTAAGGATGTACACTTTCTTGGTCGAGTCCTTCGAGTAGCCGAGTATCAGGAGAGCCGCGTCATCGTGCTCGTACAACACATTCAGTTGCCGGCGATCCTTAGCCTCGCTGTACCATACGAGTACTTTGTCAGTGACACGAGTTCCTGGTGGGCGCAAGTGGTTTGGAATGTGGTCAGCAGAGTCAAGATCCTGCGGAAACCAGATAACGAAGACTATCTTCCAGGCGAGCCGCACTGTTTGCCATTTGAGTACAGAAAACTCATAAGTTGTTAGGTGTCTCCCTCGACCCTATCGCAAATGATTGGGAGATCAATGACGAGGTTCAGGCCACGTATAGTCCTGTATAGTTACACAAGAATCAGACAGGACTTGTTTGGTAGTTACATCAATGGACGTGAAACTGCAGGCTAGAGTGACAACTTGCGTATCTGAGCTTGGATTGATTAAGTGTTTGGGAGAAACATGTGCAGGCTATGATCATAGAACGTTCTAGAATGTCCTGGTATATAACCATAAAGGGTAACAGTTGACTAAGCATCTTTCAGAACTGGGGAACAAGGTGGAGAATATTCCAGAACATTACAGAAAGTTCCAGAACATTCCAGACTTTTATGCAAGAAAATGGTCTCATATAAAGCTCATAGGGACTTGCCTGCTTATCAATCTACTAGGCATGACTCAACATAAGACCAATAGTCCATGGATAACATAATAGAATGAGCTAGAAGATCACAGAATACTCCAGCACGTACCAGATTATTCTACTAGGTCCTGGAGTATCTCAGGCATGTTGGAGAAGGTTCCGGAAGAATATTAGTAGGGATTAGTAAGCGATTAGTCAGAAATTAGTAAGCGCTTAGTAAGACACTAGAATAGACTTTTGTAAGCTAGATAGAACATTCTGGAAGGTCTTCAGAAAGGTATATATACCGGACTGAAAGTGCCCCCCAAAAGAGAATTAAATCAGTCAAGAATTCACCAGTTCAAAAGCAAGTGTGCTTAAAGCAAGTGTTCAGTAACTGCATAAGCAATTGATAGTAAGGCTAGAAAGTCTAGTTTCATATCAGTTGAGAGTTGTATAGCCTTTCCTAAGAGGGGAGAGACATATTGACTCGGCAGTTGAAGTAAGTACAGTGTTAGTGTTAGTCAGTTGGACCTTAGCAGGATCGGATTCCTGGGGTTTAGCAATTGGTAACACTCAGGTCAGCTGATAGTCAGAGGGCTAGTCAGCATAGGTAAGACAGAAAGAGTCTCAGATAGAGTTGCGGAACAAGCACAGACTGCATAGAACAGCCGGATATAGAGGAAACTCTGCCGGAACAATCAGTACACCCGAAAAAGTTGTGAACGGAGTCTGTGGAGCCAGTGAACGGTCTACATAGTCAGAGTACGCACACACAGTGCCATAAAGCTAGACAGTATTGCACATACTTTTGTCAGAATCGTCAAATACAACTGCAACCAACCCGAACTCGACGAGGTCAATTTTGGAAAAACAGGAAACCCCATACACCTTGTGGCAGAGCTTCTTAGGTTTATAGAGAGCTGAGATTCACCCCTCACCCAAACATTTAGAGAGTTGTTATATAAACTCTTCTCACACCCAAACCTCGAGAAGTACGACACCGCGACGTAGAGTTCTGTAGGGAACTCGTGGCTGTTGATTCGGAAATGGCCTATGAATTTGTGGGTGACTGGTCCGGCCGTGTTGGCAGTGCCATTGACATTGGCAAAACAAAGGGGAGAGGGTAGGGTGATGAGAGGGAGTTTGTGCTTCTTGGCAAAGTTCTGGTTAATGAGAGAAGCACTTGCTCCGCAATCGATGAACGCATGAGCTCCGATGCTTGTTGACTCGTACTCGATGCTGCCCGGGATAAGAATAGATTGATGTCGTCGTTCTGTAGTGGCAACGAACGAGATACTAATACAGTCAGAGGGCAGTTCTTCTGTTGGCGAAGGCTGCCCGTTCAAAAACCCTCATCCGAATCGTCTACGTCGACCTGGCTGATCGTTTTGTCAGGCGTCTCGTCGCCATTGTCCTCGTCGTCGGCGACCTGGCCATCCTCTAGTTCATCGACCTTGCGCACCTTGCGCTTCTTCTGTCCAGGCTGTCGTCCCTTGGCGTGGTTGTCCACCTTCTTCTTAAGGCAGTCGTGTGCGATGTGACCAGTCTTGTGGCAGTAGAAGCACTGCTTCTTCTCTCTGTCTTCCTTCATGGCTGGAGTGTCAACCTGTCGTATGGAGTTGGTACGGACAGACTGTCCCTTCGAGCCTTGACCCTGTCGGTCATCGCGAGAGCGTCCCTCGAGCTGGCGCAGGTGTCATTCTTCGTAGTTGGAGTGTTCGATCTCTAGTACCTGTGCTGCCCACTCGTTAATGGTGGTGGGAATGGGGTAGGTGAGGCGAACATGTCATCGCATGCTTTCTGGGAGACGTTCCTTGTAGAGGGACAGCTGAGCACTGTCTTCGAGTATGCTGGCTATGGCACAGAGGTGGAAGAACTCCGCATTGAAGGTGTCTGGTGCGGCAGGTCGATATTCGAGGTGGTACAGCTTGGAGGCTGCTGTAGCGGCTTCCTCAATGGGTTGGAAGGTCTGTTGTAAGACAGTTTTGAATGTGTTCTAGGTGTTCCAACCGTTTCATTGGGCCTGAGCGATGTACCCATCCTTTCAAGCGATCACCTTTGGTCTGTCCATGAACGTTAAGGCGGTGACAATGTGGCTCTGGTCTGTGGCGTAGTCGGCTAGACGTGCCTCAAAGAACAGGAAGAGTTCATTGAGGAAGGTGCGTAGATTGTCGCGACCATCAAAAACATTGGGTGTGCGGACTTTGGTTCGTCCAGCAGCGACCCCTGGTATGCCGAGAGGTGCCACAGGTGGTGGTCCACCAGGTCCTTGAGGAGGTCCACCTCTCAGAGGTGGTCCGCCACCTTGCGGAGGTCCACCAGGTCCCTGAGGAGGTCCGCCGCCCTGCGGAGGTCCGCCAGGTCCTCGAGGCAGACCAGTGGGTGTAGGTGGGCAACTAGGCAGTACAGCAGTAGTAGGTGGTATCATGGGTTGTGCTGTCGGGGTCCCACTGCTGGCATAGCGAGTGGTTTGGCCGGGTTGGGCCCCTATCGCCTGGCGTAGCGAGGAGATGCTGTCTTGAGGGGTGAACACGCTTCCGAGCTGGAAACTGGGGAGGCTAGAATGCGGTGGTACATCTGGGACGCTTGGCTCGTTCGTTGCACGGAACGAGGAGCTCTGGGTCTGAGCTTGTTCTTGCTGTGTTGCGGACATAGTGGTGTCTGTGTCGCTGTCTAGTTCATCCGGTTGTCCTCAGAGAAGATTGTAAAGGGGGGTGGCGATGTCCTCGTCGTTTCGAGGAGCGGGGTTGTCTTCCGACAGAAGGGTAGCCTCAGTAGGTTCGTTCACTACGTCCGGTAGGGAACTGGTTCGATGGGTAGCAGGGCTACGTGGAGGGGAGGGGGCTGCCGTTTGACTGAGGGCCCAAGTCGTTCGGATGAGTGCTTCCTGCCTTTTCTGAGGCGCGTTTCCGGTTGTGATGTTGGGGCTGCTCTGTCCGTTGTACCGGTTGGGGCACAGATGGTTGTTGCAATTGCGCTTGTTCTGTCCTTCTCTATTGAAGCTGATGTCGCGTTGATTCTCTGGGTCGTATCGGTGAATGCGTTGGGCGCGATCGGTCCGTTGCGTATTTATGCGGAGGGGTACCTAGTCCAGGTGGAAGTTGCGTAGAGTCGCCAAATACTCGGAATCGGAACTAGCGTCAGGGGACTCGTATCTGTTTCGAATGATGTGCCAGTGAGATTCGTAAAGTTCCCTGGCCCCAACGAGTAGATGTAGGCGTCGGCAGTGTTCGGCAAAGTCCGGGTCCAAAAGACTCTGTATGTTACGAAGATTCTTGGCCTGTTCGCGAATTCAAGCAGTAAAGTAACCAGATCTGTGGTGTTCTTCTGGATCGTGACTGATGGGAATAGGAGGGAGGAGTGGGCTGATGAGCCGTTGGAGGTTGTGAAGGGTGTTGATGACCAGTTGAACTTGTTCGATGAGAACCTGGATGTGTGCTTGCTTGGAGATCCGGGTAAGGGTCAGATGGTGGTTGGTGATGTTGTACAACGCGCTTGCGTTGTCCCAAATTCTTGTAAGGAGAGAGAGGATGTCTAGTGGTTCGGGGCTTGGAGGGTTGCCTGCCGATGATCCTTGCTTGGTGTTAACGAGCAATGGTAGTTCATTGTCCGTGTCGTACCCATCGTCACGGAGTACCCAATGCTCGAGTTCATCAAGGATAGTGAATTCGAGGCTTGCCTGGTTTGGTGCCCAAGAGCCGATACTTTGGTGATATTCGTTCCAAACTGGGCTGTGAAGGATGGCTCGTGCATGAGCCCTTCCGATCTGGTCAAGCATCTGTTGACGGATGAGTTCGATAGATGCCTGTCTCTGAGGTGTCGGTGCTACTAGTTGATCGAGGAGTAATCTCTCCTGGTAGGTCGCACATCTGTATGCTTCCTCTAGCTGTCAAATCAAATGTTCAGTATCTGCTGGTGTGGCCTGGCGCCATACTAGGTCGAACACTCGATGCTCCTCAGGGGTGCGGTTGTGGTTGTGGATGACTACTTCGTTGTCCAAGAACTCGCCGATTGTAGTGTGGTCACGGTTGTGCATTCGTCGAAGTTGGTCTGTGAGTTGACGAATAGAGCGCGCCACGATGAGTCCTATCCAGGGTGTGGTAGAAAAACTTCTGTTCTAATGTTACACTGAAGTACTAACACAATTCTATCCAGACTTATCACGCAGACTCTTTCAAGTACGCGGTGTAGCACACGGGGGAGAGAGTATCGCGCAAGTCCCTAGATTGAGGGATATAGGGATACAGGAGGTAATGAAGAGGAGAACAGAAGTGGGGAGCCTCTGCTGACTACAGGCCTCCTTATATACTATGGGGTACTGATCGTATTAGGAAGGCAAAGGGAACCGACAAAAGTAGGGAGGTACAGGGAGACTGTAAGGGAACACGTCTGGTCGAGGCTGGGCCCAGTATAGTATGCGACCTAGGTCAGGGTCCTGTGGTATAACTGAAAGGGGATAGAGGTGGGACAGGGTCCTGAGTCTAGATCAGGGTCGGGTCATGTAACCGAAAGGGGAAACGGGTGCAACAAGGGTCCGGATCTGGGTCAGGGTAAAGTAATGTAGCCGAAAAGGGAAAGGGTCAGGGTCGGACTCAGGGTCCGGTCATGTAGACAAAAGGGGAAGGCATTAAGGGGAAAGGGCAGAGTCTGGAAACCTAGTCGTCAGGGGACGGAGCGTGTCATGGCCGCACTCTGCATAGCGCCCATGACACCCTCTGCCTGCCTTCTTCAACTGTACGGACCGGGACTCTCCACCTCTCAGTACCAACAACACTTCGGAATCCGCCATTCCCCCCTCCAAGCCCAACAGCGCTCAGTACAGTGCCCTCTTTCCAGCAGCACCACGATGTTCGCCACGTGCAGCCTCACGTCGGCATCCATGTTCCTGGCGCTCAGTCTAAGCGCCTATAACCCCAGTAATGCACCGCCACCATGCTCCCTCCCTCATGGCCTCACGATCATTAGATTAGATAAGGATCACCCCACAGTAGTTAGTACGAGATACACCCCCTCTGCCTCGTGCCTAGTACTTAAGTCCTCAAGCCTCTGGCTGTGCCAAACACGTACAGATAGCTACGTGGTCTGTGCACCGGCCTACAGGTATATAGAGTAGAGTCCTTTAGGCCCTAGTCCCCATCTCGACCTCTTAGTCTAGTGCTGCTGGGTCCAGTCCCAGGACTGCTGAAGACTGGTCTTGTGACCGCACAATGCGCCTGACAGACTGGCTTTCGTAAGGAGTTACACGGCGCTTTTCGCGCTTCGCTACCCTAAGTCGGGACAAGGTCGGATTCAGGATTAAGTAGTCTTTCGTACGAGCGATGTATTCTAGGGATTATTCACTACTAGTTTCACACCACACAGACACCAAGATTGACGGGCATGAAGGTCGGATTATAGTAGAGAGACATTAGCAGACTAATGCATCAAAAAGTACCACCAACCAAATTCGGAGAATGACATGCATCGACTCGTGGGCTCCGGGCGTCCGCTAGTACAACCTTAGGCGCCGGGCCGACTCGGCCTTGATTCTATCCCCTTTCTAGGCGTGATTATGTGGGGTTAAATTATTGGAACAAAGATATGCACATATACAATTGAATGAATAACTTACAATAGAAGAATTGATAGGAGAAAGACTTGCACAATTCAGACGAGGGAACGGGCGCTTGATTCGAGTCGAACGAGCGGTCATTAGAGTGCCTTCGCAATCGCAGCTTCATATATGCTCACATTCATGCCCTTTCCATTCCTCTTAGCATCACAGAATATACATATGATAGATGTAAAAGCAGATATAATACACCTGTCCTGAATACAGTACTACAAGGGCACGGCTTGGGGTGAACTGCGATGGACTATCACCTTGGCACTACCTCCTCCGGACCCTCTGGCTCGTCAATATAATGAGTACTTACCAGATTAACTGTGTTCCTGTCTATGATTGCAAAGTGTCCCCAATCTTTGACCCTCCCAACTACAGCCTGGATGGTCTCGAGGTCCACAAAGTCGACAGCTCCAAGAGAGGTGTACCAGTGGATATCGAGGGTGCTATCGGTGCGGTCGATGTTGCAGGTTTTTGTCGCAGCCAGAAGGATGGGGGTCACAGTGTTGATACTGTACGATGGAATCGGGGATAGGTTAACGAGGTAGATGTGTTGCAGTTCACCGTAGAAGACTTGTGGCCGAAAGATAGATGGAGCGTTCCGCTGTCTAGCAAGCAGATCAATGAAAAGCTCGTACTGCGGTCAGAAGGGAGATGCCAGATCTGTGAGTGTAATCAAACTGGACAGGGGAGTCTTTAACGTACCCGCACGTAGCTTGCATTACGGCTGTCCCCTGCCACAGCATCCAGTGCCGCTGAACGAATGGTATCACCATCATTCAGGATGCGGAACTTCGCCCATTCCTCCACTTCAGTGGGCAGGGCTTGACGTATGATGGAGGGCGCTGCAGTTGTGAAGCGAGTGCACAACGCACCAATGATCTTGGTTTGGGTGCCACGGTCCAGGACCACGGTACGAGAAGATGGGAGTAGGACAAGTGATGTATCTGTGGTCAGTTACATGTCAACAAGGATGCTAAGATCAGAATGAAGGCAACGTACATCCTTCAACAGATGTTGGTAGAACTCCAAGTGGGGCATGAAGCGTTAGATGAGTGCGGAGCGTGCTGCCATAACGAAGCTTGATATGATCGAGCCGTGCCTTGTCCAGTACGTACCGGTTGAGCGAAGCATATGGGAACCGTCTGCTCCGAATTGCAGGCTGTAGCGAGCCGCAATACCGCTCCATGGGAAATGCCCATGCAGCCCACACAGGTCCGATGTCCCGTATGCTGTCAGCAGTGTGAAGGAGAGCATGAATGGTGAGGGGACACGTCGATAGCCGTCGTGGGTCCGTCTGATAGTAGTACCTGTGCGATAAGGTTTGAAAGTCAGTCAGAGGCTGTCATGCTATTAATACACGCACTGTTCATAGGTTGTCACCCATTGTGCGAACCCCTCCCGGATGTACTGGACATCTGCTGACGAAACTTCCCACTGGAGACATTTTCGAACCAGGTGGACGAATAAGAGGTAATGTTCATAATACTTAGGCTGCGCAAATCGCCCTTTGAGGAGTACAGGTCCAATGTATTGCATCCAGAATGATCGTGTGTCTGCTGTCCAGGACGTCTTATCGCTTGCGACATTGGGTGGGCGGAGGCCATACACATATGGGATGTACAAACCTGACTCCTCGCTTGCGGCGCTGATATCCTCCCAGATTGCCGATTTGAGCTCGTAATTCTCAAGACCATCATCGAGATCCTTGTAGTTCCCACTCCAAAGGTTCATCAGGTTCTTTATGACGTTTTCAAAGATGAGGTGCATGAAATCGTATGGAAAGGAGGCAGGAAATGAGAGGGAGTCTAGGGCGCTGAGGAGGGGAAGACCTTTAATGCCGTACTGCTTGGCAAGACGCTCCGCTTCAGCACCTGTGAGGGCTGATTGAACTTCTCGTGCTTGAGAGAGAATCTGCGCATGAGACCGAAGGGGAAGAGAAAGGGGATCGTACACCTGCACAGTGTCAGGATATGACCGGACGTCAGGATGGTGGCTGCGATCAAGGGGGACGTAATGGATCAGATTCCGGGAGTCTGGTATTCGGATACCATGGATATTGCACATCTGGCATGGCACGAGGGCGTTGTGCCCCTTCATGCGCATAATTATCGAGATCGCTGGAATGTCGCTAAAGACAAGTAAGAGGAACACCCGTAGAGCAAAGAAGTCATCGGTGAGACAGTCGTAGGTGTGAACGCCAATGGCTAGTTGGAGCATCTCCTGGCTGAACGGCCAAAGGAAGGAATCCATGTCATCAGGTTTGCGAGGACCCGGAATCACGCCTAACCCAAGGATGTGCTCGAGTTTGTTGCGGATCTCTGGCGGAAGGTTGTAGATGACAGCAAGAAGTGGCCATGCTGTCTTGCTGCGACGTTTGAAAGGGGCGAAACCGTCTGTGGAAAGGCCAATGGCAATGTCACGATCGTCCTGAAAATACCTATGAGGCAGTGTCTTCCCACCGATCTGGACGCGACGGTTGCAAAGGGACCGATAGTGTAATGAATCCATGACATCCTTGATCACACCAGGGGTGTGTACATGTCCACGAGCTCACCATAGAAGCAGAGTTGCTAGCTCTTGATTGCTCAGCATCGCTTTGAGGCGGGGAATGAGGGGGAGGTATACGAAGACTTGTCGAGGCTGATTACGGGAATTGAGGCGTGACTCATCACAGAACGGACACTTGTTGAGGTTCACATGGGGGCCCACAAAGCAGCAACATGAATTGACGCAGCAATGGTACACTTTCGGCTCGAATCCAGACAGCTCGGCAACGCGTGACTGTACCTGCTTCCAAGTACCAAGCTTCGACGTAGGGAAGACGTATGGAAGCTTGGCAAACGTGCGACCGGGCATGTGCTCTGAAACCTTGAGAGAAAACGCTCGTAGATATTGTAGATCCTCTTCGGAGAGATCTTCAGCTTATCAAGGAAGATGTCAGCATCCGCAAAGCTTCTATAGCATACATTTGCGCACCTGTCACGATCCCTGCCCTAATCAGAGCTTCTGCCAGCTGATCCCACACGGAAATAGCCTCAAACTCGTCTTCAAAACTCTCATCGTCATCTCTACAACCATGATAGGGATCGTCTCCCAGTCGAGGGTGCAGATTGTGATCTCTAGCCAGAGAAATGCCTTCATCCTCGTCATCTGAGGAGTCCTCCACCGTTGTACGGAACTGAGACCTGCACCAGATCTGTTCTTGCATTGTTTGCTCCACTTCAGCGATGCCAATGCTATCTGCAGCCTCTGCATCATTCAGTAGGCCTAGGAAATGATCAATCATTGACTGCATGCAGCATAATAGAGTACACTGAATCGATTGACATACCAGGATCCGCTTCTCGGTCAGCATCCATGTATCCAAAGTCCATATCCACCTCAGGCATCTGAACGGACGGCAAAGGCACGGAGATTGACGGAGGTGAAAGAGAAGGCTGTCGGGGATCGAGACAGCGGGTGACACGGCGTGAAGGGTCACTAATGGGCTGTGGACGTTGTTCAGCTCGTGCTTCTGCAATAGAGGCCCGTAGGAGGATAGGAGCACGTCCGGAACGGTGCGCTCGGAGCGTCTTTCGGGTGACTAGCTGGCCACAACAACCGGGCACATCACAGCGAATTTTTCCTTCAGCAGGCATGGCTAGGCAGACAAGTGGATATGAATTGAAGCAAGTACACTCTGGGGAGCTGAGGGGCTGCTAGCAACAGACAGAAAATCTAACGAAGAACGGGCGCTTCGGACTTAGGAGTCCTACAACAGTCAGCTACAATAGGCCTGACAAACCCTGCTTTTGGTCGTGTTCGGCGCTCAACCAATCAACTCCTGTTCCTGCTGCAAAAACGCGTGACCCTATCAACAAACCAAACACGCTGACGCGTCAGTATATAAAGGCTCTCCGGGCACCCATATCTCTCGAGATATAAATGAGCACTTACAGCACTCCTCCACGATGACCATCGCCCACCAGCAGCATCTATCCTAGCTCCCAGTGTTCAACCTTCCTTGCTTGTTACCAACCCACACCACCGCTACATACACCGCTACATTAGAACCTCCGTCATCAGTCGGACATGGCCCCAGTAGTATGAACCTCACTTATCATGCCACATCGTCACTGACACAGCGGACGACAGGCAACCAAAGCTCAGCTTCAGAAGCAGGTCAAGGAGTTGACATTGCAGCTTGGAACATTGCAGACGGCTAATGGTGGTAAGTCTTAAAATCCACGTTCGCATGTTCACGTTTTTGCTCACCTTGTCTCACTGCGGTGTGATTCCCCAGAACGTAACAGCCATATTACAGCTCTCATGGAAATGCAGGACCGACTGACTGCACAGCTGCATGATGCTGAAGCTCGCGCTACCGCAGCACAGACGGAGGCAGCGGCCGCTATCAATGCAACCGCCGCCGCTGCTGCTGCTGCTGCTGCTGCTGCTGCTGCTGCTGCTGCTGCTGCTGCTGCTGCTGCTGCTGCTGCTGCTGCTGCTGCTGCTGCTGCTGCTGCTGCTGCTGCTGGTGTCCCACCTGTAGAGCTGGTCCCGAAGCCCAAGACTTATAAGTTCAACATCAGACGTGAGATGAGGGTTACATACGAAGAATTCTGCGCTATCAGGGTACGCTCCATCGCTACTACGTATATGTATCCTGTCAGGTTCATACGTCACACGTGTAGGCAACAATACACACCCTTGTGAAGTCCACCCAATTGTCCTGGAGAGAGGACTTTCGCCGCCAGGATCCAGCCGCCCTTGCTTTGCTCTTTAAGAGTGTGAGTACTCACCTGAACCACCCTCCCTTGTATCCTGCTCACTATGCCACTAGGCACGGAAAGAACACCCCATCCTGCGCAACTACACCAATAACTGGGCTACTGCGGCCATTGCGAAGACCTATATGCAGAACATGCGTAAGCATGCACGTCGTCAGGGTTACATCCCACGGTACCAACCTGGCAATGCCCGCAATGACCAGTAGGTACAGCGGAGCCCAACGGAGGTCAAACATGTCTGTATGTGAAGGGTTAGGATGCAAGCCGAACGTGTGAGACGTTTAGAGCTTGCAGTCAGTAAGATTGCTCGGCTCACGTACCTTCAGATGCACTTCTGCCTGCCCACCAAGTTTACTTTACCTTATAATCCTCATCTTGTATGTCTTCATATGACTTATATGCTAGTACTCGAGTAACCTATATGGAGGCGTGAGCGGTATCAAAAAGCATGAGAGAGCTGCAACAAGCAGGACAGCGCGCAACGCGATTGCTGGGAAGCGGCCTGCCAGATCTGAGATCAAAGGCGCCAGGAACAAAGACTACGTCTCCTATTGTATCTCAAGGCCTTTACTCCTGCATATACAACACTACATACGACTTTTTTCAACCGTATCCCACTTTTAGCAAGGTCGTAAAAGGGAAAGTTTCTTGACGAAAAATCAGGGATGGGAAACGGGGTCTAAGTCGCAGATTTCGACGAGCGCTAAACACGCGAAACCCGGGACTTTCGAGCCCAATATGTCGTAAATCCCTATCGTCATTCCTCCGACCATCCCGGCACGCAGTGCTGAGGCAGGACCTGTAGTAACCGGACCAGGACCGCCTGTATAGCGGTCCTGTCTATGGTCCCGGTTCCGATCTTCCTGTACATACCTGTCTGTAAGGACCAAGGAGGACCAGTCATGACCGGTCCAGGACCGACCAAAAAGACCGTAACAGACTGATAGGGACCGGTCTTCGGGGCCATAGAGAGAGCAGGCGGTAGAGCACAACATACGATTACGTAATCATAGCAGACGAAAAGTTGTGTGCATTGATTCAACAAGACTGTTCATTTCTCCTCTACTGCCCTGGTCCACACAACTACAATCTACTGGCATGGCTAGCGAGGAGGAGACAACAACAACGAAAAAGGTGATCAAGCGAAAGAAGGTGGTAGAGGACAGCTCCGAGAGCGAGGAGATTAAAGAACTGCTTGTGGTGAAGAAGGCACAGAAAGTCGGTGGGGCACACAAATCTGATGCGAAGGGAAGGGTTTCGAGGGAAGGGAAGACACAGGGGAAGGTGGGCGAGAAGAAGACCGGGGCGGCACAAAAGAAGTCGATGGGAGGGAGAGGCAAGACGGCGGGAACGAGCAATGAGGTGATCGAGATCGATGAGGAAGGTGATGAGCGAGACAATGGCCCGGAGGGCAACAAGGAGAGTGAGCATGCTGGAGAGGAGGATGGGGTTGGGGATGGAGACAACGAGGTGTGTGTGATGGTGTTCAAGGCAGACTACTCACCTGATGAACATGTCCAGTCATCTGACAACGAAGAACTCACCCTCCTGAAGAAAAAACGATGAAGAAGGAGATGACGCAGGACCTCTGGCTGATCTTCTCCGTGCGCGAGACAGTTGTGTTTGTGGATGAGGAAGAAGGGCGCCGAGAGGAGGAGATGGGCTCATGGTGCTNTATATGCCGGTACGTTAGGTCATTGCATAGCAGCATTGGGT